AGGAGGCAGACATCACCACCGCCATCTTGCAGAGGAAGAACAGGCTCTGAGGGCCGGCAGCTCCCCTCAGTGAAAGGCTGAGAAGGAACCACCGCTTGAATCCAGATCTTTCTACCTCCACGGCCCTCTCTTTCCTTCCCCATGTTGGAGCTCTAGAGAAGACCAGAACTACAGATGATCAGAGTTGGGAAAAAATTCTCTTTCCTCCATGATTGTTTTCAACAGAAGCCTCGAGTATCCTGTAAAATGTTCTTTTACGTTAACCAGTTCTTTTCCTTGTCAGTCCTGGAGAAAGTAGCCCAAGGACAGAATTCAAAAGAAATTTTAAGAGCTACGAAAGTAAAGATTTTCTTGCAGGATTAGCTATAATAACAAAAATTAGAAACAGCCCAAGTGTCCAACAATAAAGAAGTAGGAAAATACGATGCATAAAATGGAAATTTTACTATGGAAATTTACATAGTAATGAAAAACAATCGTGAGGGATAAGCAAAAAAAAATGTTCATGATGGATTGCTAACAGAAAACAGTGCACGGAAATGCTTTTATGATGGTAACTACATAAAGGTATGTATACACTTATAAGAAATATTGGAACGGAACACAAGTAAAAACGAAAAGTTACTGGCTGGCTTATAAGATTATGGATTTAAACAATGTGTAACTTCCACAAATGGGTTTATGATATTTTTATTAAAATACCTCAAATTAAGAGAGGGGGGAAAACAGCGATAGCTACTTGGAACATTTAGTTAGTAACCTAGATCAAATCAGACTACACTGGTTAGGCAACCTGCTTTTTTCTTCTTTCCATATTTTGAGGCAATTGGATATTGTGTTTTTTGCCATAATCCACAAATTATTTTTCTGCTGGTACTTCTCCTTAATTAGTTTTCTTAAAGTTTATTGGTCAACATTCTCCAACATTTGATAGCCTTGTTTATTTTCTGCGTTTCCCCTAGGGTTTAAACCAAGTCAGAAAAATTAATGTTTTTCTTTATTTGCTTATCGATTTATTTTTTGAGATAAAATATTATTTGAATCATATGAAATTATCTTGTTCGTAGGTCAAAACAAATATTGGAAATTTTATATAAAAATTTTAATAACAGCAGGTTTTATCTTAAACCATCCTTGCAACGCATTTTGAATCATTTTGTTCACTGCCCTGTCTCCTCCATGAGCTTAATTTCTGGGTTTTTTTGTTTGTTTGTTCGGTTTAGATTTAAATGCTAAGTTCTCTAGAAGAAACGTCCAAATAATGCCACTCCAGTATATTCCCCAGCCAATAAACCATTAAAGTTAATTTAATTTAATTTAATGGAAACATCTAGATTCCTTTCATTCATTCACTTTTGAATTCATTCAACGAATATTCATTGTGTTTGGACTTGGCTCCCCGCAGGGTGCTAAGCTCTGGACACCTCGGGAGCAAGACTGAGGACTCCCTTCCCTCGGGGAGCACACTGGTTTTTCAGGCCCGGAGGAATGGCTAAGTAAAGCAGTGACTAAACAATTCATTTCAACTAAACTGTCAAGTGACTGGTGTGATTATTTTTTTAACCAAACTGACTGAAAGTTTGCTCAAATTGATTAAATCTACCATCAGCTTGGCGTGAGTAAGAGCTAACGTTGGCCCAAGCAGAGAAGAAGTCTGTGTCGAATGATCCCTGCTGTTTGTTTAATCCATTAGCTGGCATCGGTACATCCGGCTCAGGAGAAGAAAGATTCCCAAAGCCCGCATTTGGACCTCCCGAATGCAAAACAGTTCCCGAGTCAGTGCCTTAACCCTTCTAAATACAACACAAGCCATGATGCCTGGGGACTCCGGAAAGTAAAAGCAAACCTCCAGTAAAAGTTAAGTCTAATTTTTTAAAGACAAAGGCAAACAGAAAGAGAATTTTAAACACATACAGTGGGGGTCATTCCGAAGCGAGAGCTTCCCAGGACGGGGGCACCTTTCACACAGCTGTGGCCGTGGCCTGTGAACCAGCAAGTGTGGGAAAAGCCCAGGGAGAAAACGGAAGTAGCGCATCTGGATGAGAAGAGCCAGGTGATTGGATGTGGGTGAAAATACCACTGAGGCAAACCTTGTCCTGCATCACCTAGAAGCTCCCCTCATTCCCAGCTCCGAGCACGTTAGCAACGATCTGGCATTCGAGAAGTTTGCATTTAACTATCCCGTCCCTGGGCAAGCACACTAAGCTTCCAGTCTCAAAACCGGGTGGCCATTGTGACCAGCGACGACCCAGAGGATTTTGTCTCACATCCCACCCCCCATTTATATTGCACATTTTGGAGCATGTTCTTACTTCGGGGGAACACCCCCAACAGAACAAATTGTCTTAGAAAATAAATATGGCGGTTCTAATGCTCGTCCTGTGACCTGTCAAAGCTTGGATCCTTGTTCACGATTGGGCCCACCGCTCAGCTAGAGCCCCACAATGTTCCTGTGCTAGAATGCGTATGCTCAGAACTCGAAGGAGGGATGAGTTGGATTTCAACAGATGGAGAGAATGCCCAGTGCTGTTTACAAAACAGTTGAGAGCAAATTAAGAATTCTAACCATGGGTTTCCATTTCCTGTTGCTAGATATTGAGAACAAGAAAACAAACCATGATGTAATAATAGTAATAATTAATACCATTTCCATGTTTTGGCTGTTGGCTATGTATCAAGCACATTACATTCATTTCCCATCTTTACAACTTTGCAAGGACAGTCATCCTTACTTTAGAGGGGAAAAACTAAGACCCAGAGAAGTCAAGCAACTTGCTTAAGGTTGCACAGCTAGGAAAGCGGCGGTACTGGGATTCCATCTGTGATTGACCTACTTTTGCTACCACATCCAGCTGCCTCCCTAGAAGCGGAGCATGAGAGTCTGCAGTCCCCAAGATTTTGTGTCACAGCTGCATATCCTTGCTTCACAGGACAATGGCCACATAGACCATGGAGTGTGTTCTTGGCCACTGTGGGGTAGGGAATTACAGGAACTGAGTAGCTGACGGCACTGCAGGCAAATTAGGCCTGTGCCGTTAAGCACACCACCTTCGTCACTTCCAGCCGCAGACCCCGGGGACCGTCCTGGCAGACTCTCACCCAGGGACACCTCCTCATGTAGACAGATTAGGTCATTATTTGCCTCGATCCTCATGATCTGGACATTTCCATAAAGGGCAAGTGGAAAAATCTTAGTAAAAAGTGGATTAAAAAAGGGGGGGGGCTTGGGGATGGGTGACTTAATTGAGCAAGAACAGAGAGAAGACCTCAACTCAAATTCTGTCAGCAGCCTTTCCGCCAAGTGAAGTCGCAAAGGCAACATGGTGCCGTTTGTGGCCCTCGGGGTTAAAGGCCCAAGTCTCCCCTCACCTCACCTCATCTGGGCGAGACACTTGGAAGAACTTTCATCTAGGAACCTTCTATAGGAGTAGCTGAAATGTCCATCTCCACCCCAGAAAAGCAAGGGGCATGGAAAGATGAAAAATCCAGTCAATCTAACTTTCTCCTCCTGGGCGCCATTTGTGGAGATGGGCACAGTCCCCATCTAGTCTGCTGGGTGGGGTTTTGTTTGCCATTCTTGGCAGCCACCACCACCCAAGCAGCTTTTCTTTTTCTCCTCTAACCCTACTTGGCTGCTCCCTTGGACCCAAGGCCAACACAAACGGACCGGTGAGGAAACCATTCTTGGCAGAAATATCTCCGTGGCCTGAAGCCCAGGGTCTGAGGCTGTTGCCGTCCACTCTTCCCTGGAACTCACTGAACTCACAGGCTGTCGTGGTCGTCTTGTCCCCTGCACACAGAATGGGCTGCCTCAGGCTTGCTGAGGGCCCTCACCCCACAGCGCCATGTGACTCATACCCAACAAAGGCTTTTCTGAGAAGAACGCTGCGATCTTACAGAAAACCCCACGATTACTTAGTCCTCAGAACCCCTGAGGCACCAAGCTGAGGCTGTGCCACATTCCTTGTCAGGAGCAGAAGCGCCAGCGGCCTCTCCAGCCCTCCCACCATGGTGGCTAAACGGTCTCCCAGGCCGAGGCAACCCGTGAGGTGGAGGAAGGTCGTTCGTGGTGACCACCCTCCCCGTTTCTCCAGATTCAAATACAGGTGGTCCCGTTTCTTATAAAAGTGCCGTGGCCCAACCCCTCGAGACAGTCTGTTTTGTTAATTCTTTTCACATGTTCTGCTCATTACCTGGCCTAGGAAACACGGTGGGAGTGAAAGCGTTCTAGAAAATCCAGACTCCCATGAGCTAAAACAAGGCGAGGGTTGGTTGGTAGTCAGAGTGGCGACTTAACAGGTCACAGCCTCTCATCTGTCCCTACATTCTGTCAGCATCTCTAGCTTTCTGGCCTCAGATGGAGAGCTGCTTGCAGTGAGGGGTGGTGGGTGAGTCACGAAGCCCGTGATGGGTGTGTCACTGGGCCGCCCTTGGCCATGGACGTGGGGGCAGCCATGACAGAGCTGCGTGGTGACATGCACCCCGAGGAAGACCCCTTCCCTCCTTCGTTGACCCTGCTGCTTAGTCCCTGCCCATCCAGGTACTCTGACCCCGGCTGACCACCGAGAGGAGCTTCTGTTGGAAAGGGAAGAAGGAAAGGGGCTGAGTGACGGAGCCAGCAAGGAGGTAAAGGAAGGTGCCGTGACGGGCCATCAGAGATACTCGCTCTCCTTTGCTCCACACTGGTCCTGCCTCAGTCGTCTTCCTTCTCCTTCCTCCCCGTCCTTCCCCTCCGTGGGCTTTCCTCTCTCCTTTTATTACTGGAAATACCTGTCCCTCGGGCAGGTGTGTTCAAGCCGCTGGCCCTGAAGAGATGCCCAGCGTGGCTGTGAGGAGCCGATGCCTGTCCAGGATCCTCCCGGCTCGGCCGCCCCTTGATTTGGGGAGAACAGGATTCAAAAGACGCACCAGCTCCTCACTCGCCCTCCCCTACGTCCCCCCCAACACACACATGCACAGAGTTTCTAGACGCTCCTTGCCATCGATACGTCTGGCCTTACCTGTAACCGGGAGCTGTGCCTGCAGCAAGACCAGGGAAACCAGCAACTTCCACGCCATCTTGTCCTTCCCCCCAGGACAGTGTCCGGACGCCGAGGCTGCGGCAGCCATGGCCGGGACGCGAGAGCAGAGGAGTCCGCTGGCTTTGTTCTGCCGCTGCCTCCTCAGGAAGTGGAGGACTATGGGGCTTTGAGAAGCTCACACCTGCCAGCGGGGCCAAGAAGCTCACACTCCCCCTTTCGGTTCATAGGCAGGAAGCTCCGGAGGTTTGAGGGTTTGAGGCGGGTGTGGGTCTAAAATTTTGCCTTTTCTCTCACTTAACAATTGTTTTACTCTCTTTTTTTCTCGAACTTTTGTCAAATGTTTATCTAATTCCTGTCTTGGTTGGTGAAGTCAGTCCCAAGGCCAATAGGAGCTCACATTGCCTGAGAGGACATTTGCCATTTTCCTAGGCTTCCATATTTTCTGGAGGTTGGTAAGGGGGCAGAGCCCTGGATCCTGAGTCAGGATAAACACAGAGACAGAACCCTGAGCTCTGGTGCCCATCCCTGCTGCCTACCCGCTGTGTGGCCTGGACAAAGTCACTGAGCGTTTCTGGGCCTCTGTGTCCTTCCCTGTGAAGCAAATTGCTGGGGGGTAGATCTAAAGTTGCAGATCAAAACTTGGCCTGAATTTGAACCACACAGTTTACCAAATGCCTTTTTATTTATTTATTTTTTTTTTGGTTCAAACACACTATGGTAGGGTACGTGGTCCCTTACTGCATGAGGAGCCCTCGGAGAGCTGCAAGAAAGACTCAGATTTCCGAGCACGTTCGTGCTCCGTTGGTACGTGACTGACAGCTTGTCTGGGGAGAGCGGTGAGTGCAGAGAAACACGACAGAAGAGGAAAGTAGGTGGTGACCATTCAGGAGGCAGCCTCCTGCCTTTCTGCCTTTCTCCTCCTCCCATGAAAGCCATGGGCCACTGTCATTTTGGAAGGGGGAGTAGGGCAGATCTGGAGCTTTCGACAAACAGGGCAGTTCCAGGAGCTCAGAGTTCCCGGAGGAGAGCGGAGTGCATTCTGCAGGAGGGTGTGGGCAGGGCTGGCTCCAGGGCTGGCCGTGTGTCCCCCGTGTGACAGTTGTGACAGGTCAGAGCTGTAAGCAGGCTGAGGACAGGGGAGGCCCAGGTGGAGAGCCGGCCGGGCACCTTCTTCTGTGCCACCAGCCTCAGCAACACACTTGAGCTCTCCGTCTGTCCCTGTCCCTCCATCCCTCCCGTTCAGACTTCCCCGCGTTGCCAGGTGGAGACGCTGGTTCAGGCTTCTTTCTTTGAGTGTGGGTGAAGTTTCAGAAGTTAGATGGTGGAAATGACGGGGCATCCGAACCTCTTCTCCTCTTGTGTTTCCCGCTCTCCTTTCAATCACCGAGGTCAAGCAGACCTGCTAGTGGAAGCGGTGATCTGTGTGTTATTTCCTGATTTACTTAAACAATGGGAAAACAGGCTTCTGAAATAGTCAAAGGATCCCTTGTGGGGGTTCATGTTTTCCTCTTCTGTGAACCACTTTCTGATATCAGAAACTATTTTTTAGGGGCACCTGGGTGGCTCAGTCCTTAAGCATCTGCCTTCGACTCAGGTCATGATCCCAGAGTCCTGGGATCGAGCCTCAAATCAGGCTCCCTGCTCAGCAGAAAGCCTGCTTCTCCCTCTCCCACTCCCCTTGCTTGTGTTCCCTCTCTCACTGTGTCTCTCTCTGTCAAATAAATAAATAAAATCTTCAAAAAACTAGAAATTAATTTTTAAAGTAAAGCACAGCTGTAACCGGGTGCAGTGCCCTTTGTGAGGGGGAGAAATGGAGAAGGAGGGTAGGTTCCATAGGAGCTGGGGGGGAGGCTCGTTGTGCTCCCAGTGTCAGCCTTCCCTGGCAGGGGTGGGGCAGGAGGTGCTGCTCACCTGGTGGCCCATCCTGGGCTTTGAAACCTAATCCAGTGAGTCCCTTGTGACTTGACCTGGGGAATTTATGAAGAAAACAGAATGAACCCTGGAGGGCGCCCGTAACCTTTGCGCTCGGACAACTCCACAGAGCAAAGGAACCCCTCACCCGTGAGGTGTATCAGGATCCCTGAGGGTCTGGGCTTTGCTTCCTGGGGAGAGGTTGTGTCTTCATCCTTATCTGAACCAGAGCTGTGTTGTCTGGTTATGGAGACCCAGATCTTTACATGACCATGTCATTATTATTCTTGTTATTTTAAGCAATATAGACATTGACTTTGAGATCCAAATACCAAAAGGAAAAACACAAGGTCAGATATATCTATGAGAACTGAATTGTGGCGCTTCTCATTAGTATGGGCAACGTAGGGCTGCCCGGATGAGAAGAACATGGAATTCTACTTGGATAGAAGTGAGCTGTGCACACGGAGTGCTTCATTCTCTCCTTTCCCTTATCTCTCTGAGGGGAAAATGGAGTGGTGACTGGAGCTTGGTTTCTGATTTGAAGGAATGGGAGACTAGAGATTTGAGAGCCTTGTTCATGCTGACGTGGTGCTCTGTGCCCAGTGAGTGAGGGTTTGAAGCCTGGACTTGGAAGCATGGGTGTTCAGGGAGGATGTGGTCTGGGTTTCCCGCATACCCACACCGAGTCACTGGCTGGTCTGCCTCATCGGATCCGTTCCTGCCTTCTGAAGGTCAGCTTGAAGGTGGCTCGAAACCCTAGGGCATTAGAGGAATGATCTGGAGGGGACCCCTGGGTGGACCAGTGTAGACAAGCCCAGGGAATTCCAGAGCTAACAACGAACACGTTTCTGAGGCTGGAGTTGGCTTCTCTGCGAGCAGCACTGCGCTGGGGAGGAAAGCAGTCTCCGGGTCTTAGGAGTCACCATGTCACAGGTGTGGGCCTGGCAGGGGAGTCAGATCAGAGCTGGGAGGTTGTGAGCCGTGGCGGTGGCCTTCGCTCTGGACACACAGGTCAGCTTGCTCCAGGGGCAGGGAGCAGGGCCCAGCCCTCCCGCTGCAGATGTGATAGGAAACTTGCTTCCCGTTGGGTTCTCAGGCCCTCATCTCAGCAGGGGGCTTGATGGGAAGCAGCCCCCAGGCAGCATTCTGGATTCTTGCCCAGTGTGCCCCTTGCTTCCTTGGACGAGGCACCACAGGTGTCTTCTCCTGGCATCTGTGAACTCCACCGGCAGAAGTTCTTCTTCCAGAGCCACACCCCTGAGAAATCCTCCGCTCCTCTGTGCTGTATGGAAGAGGCCAGTGTTCACTTGGAACTGAAATCTCAGCTCCTGCCATTAGGTTCCAAGGCCACACGGCACACCAGTCTCCTTAGAGCTCTCAGTCCACATGGGGCCTCACGTGTGAGACTGAGATTGAACCTGGGTGGCTGCCGCTGCTGCAGGTTCCTTCCTGAAAACTGTGCGGCAAAGCTGGTTTGAGATGACGTCCCAGGAAAGAGGACAGGTGCACCATTCTGCCCCAGCACAGGAGGACGCCAAACGTCTGTCACAGGTGGCTGGTGTAGGGAGGAGAGCTGTCTGTTTCCCAGGACCTTGGCCAGAGGGAGATGTGGACCCTGGGATGCTTCTCTCCTCAGCTTTCTCAGGTGAGCTCATCAGGCAAGGGGAGGACGGGGATGTGCTCCCCTGGAATCAAGGAAAGTGTCTGGTTCCAGGTTTCATGTGCAAGTGGATTTCTCTTATGGCTCAGTTTCCTGATGGTCTTCAGGGTGCAGCAGGAGCACCGATTGTCCCAGATTCCTGGCTGTGCAAGAGCTCTGGTCACCTTTTCCTCCAGGGCTCTGACTAGGAAATCAGAGGGAGTCCATGGTGAAACCATCCGTGTAGGCTTCCGTTTCCCCTTGCCGAGATGGTGACTATGATAACTGCTCTGGAAGTAGAAAGCAGCAGATGGGGCTGGGGTGCTGAAGGTGGGGGCGCGGTGGTGCTTGCTATTCACATGGGGGCCAGGTGGGACTTCGCCAGGAAGGTGATGCTTGAGTCAAGATCTAAAGATAGTGGGTGATATCACATCAGAAGCAATCTAAATGGAAGGGAAAGCATATACAAAGACCCTGGGGCAGAAGCCTACCAGGTATGTCCAGAAGCAGCACAAAGGCAATAGGGTCACAAGAGAAAACTTAGGACATGACATCAGGGAGGTGACAGTAGGGTGACAGGAATCCATTGCAGGGCCATACCCCTATGGGACCCTGTTTCACTGGGCCATCCTAGCTACAGTGTCGAGAACAGATGACACAGTGTTGAGGATGGGCAAGGGAGGTCAAGGATTAAGCTTTTCCAGACACTCAGGCTAGAGATGGGCTCCAGTGTGGGCCAGACAGGTGGCTGGGAAGGAGTGGTTAGTCCTATCCCAGGTACCTATTGAAGATGGAGGTCACAGGGTTTGCTGATGGGTTAGACATCGGGAATGGGAGAAAGGAGGAATTGAGGTAACTTCGAGCTCTTGTGGGTTGTCCTCAGTGAGGCGAAGGAGGAGGTTGCTGGGGTAGGAGGAGTCCTTATTCCACGTGCTGAGGAAGGTGCCTATGACAGAGGGTCTGCTGATGTTTGTGTCTGGGAGGACAGTTAACAGGTACTCCCTCAGCAGCTTTCAAGGACAAGCCTCCCCCAATTTCTCAAAGTTCATGGTAAGACACCTGGCTTTTTAAAAGACCTACATTATTATCCAGCTCCAGTAGCAGGAAGAGACACAAAGAGGATTTCCCTCTTATGAAAAAAGTAAAAAAAGTGGGCATCACATTCAGCTTCTGTTTTGTGGGGAGCCCCTACAGAGGCGGTGTGCACCCCAACCGGCTCCTTCCTGGGCACCGCTCTCCGTGTCCAGCCACCAGCGCTTTCAGCTGTGTCTGTGAGCGTCTGCTGTGCTTTCTCTCCATTCACTCTGGGCATCTGTAGGATGTTGTGTCCTGAGGCCTAAGAAGAGTCAAAGAGAAGGAAATTTTTGGAGCCTGAGCATGCTCACCAATGAATGAATGGTCATTGAAATGAATGGTAATTCCCTTTTCAATTTACACCATTTCTGCTGTGAAAGGTTTCCTAGGAACACTGTACTTTCAAGTAGTGGGGGAGCCTGTACCCCATCCTACAGGGTGAGCTTTCGTCTCCATCCTGCACAGAACATTCCATGGCTTGCAGATTTTATCACTCAAACATGGCACCTTTGACCACCTTCAACGCTTTCACCCCTTCCCTGAATCTGGCAACCACCAATCGGTTCTCGGTACGCACGCGTTCACTACTTT